TTTTGGGAGGAAATCATGGATTAAAGCCAACACTGTACCCCTGCTGCAGTCACTCTCTGACCTGGGATGCTTTGGAGGTCCCCGGGGGTCCCAGTCACCCAGTGTGTGACAGAAGGGCAGTGTTGGAGCTTTGTGTTGGAGGGGAGGAGGGCTGTCGTGATGTCATTTCTGTGCAGCTGCCGACTCCTTTGGGCTTGTGTTTTTAACTGACCACTGGATAAATAGCTGCTGCTAGTGTGTGCATGCTGCCCCTTTCTTAAAGCTGTGTTCAGTTTGTCTTAGTGCCTTGATTCTGCTTTATGGTATATAAGGAAGTGTTCGCAGGAGGTGTGGATTATGTGCTGAAGGCTCGGCTTGCTCTTCCCACCTACTCTGCTGTGACCATTCAGCTCCTCCAAAATCTTAACATAGTCTGAGCAAGAGAGTGAAGCTGGATCTAGAGACCATTTCTGTTGCCATTAAATATCAACTCCTCCCCTGAGCTGCTTGTAGGTCTTCCACAGAGATGTCATCTGGAGCATATTTGTGTTTTGGGAATGGAGGTTCATGGCTTCGAGCTACAGGTGGTATTTTAGCCTTTCAGACTCCCTCTTGGGTGCCACAATTCAGGATGCATTAGTGCAGTGGGAGCTTGGTTTTGAGCTGGCTGCTGGGCTGTTTTGATGAGGGGTAACAGTTCCCAGCTTGTTTAGTGTTGTAGCTGTGGGAGCTGCTCTGTCTTCATCAGGCTCAGGACAGGATTTCAGTCATGAATCCTCCAGAGCAGCTGAGCTGTTTACCTGCCCTGAGGGTATTTTGGTATTATGTGCTTGAATTTTCACCAGTCTTATCCCCTGCTGGGAGAGCAGTGACCCAGCCTTAGGGCTGTTTGAAACCCTCTGACCAGTGATGCTTTTTTAATTTAACAGTAAAGCAGTGAGGTGTTGCCTTGATTGAGGCAGAGAAAGGGTGTAGAACTTAGAACAGGGACTGGAGGAGGTGTGTTGGTGCATATTAGGGATGCTTTGAATCCAGCTGCTGTGTCAAGGTTTTTCAGGGAGAGGTCTTCTGCTTGCTTTGCAGTTCTGGAGACAGTGTGGCTTATACCCAGGTGATGTCCCACACATTCCAAAACTAGGGTGGTGCCTGGAGCCGTGGCCTGGAGAGGTATGAGGACATCATCTCTCTTCCTTCACCCTTGTTTTCAAAGGGAATACAGCTCTGCGTGCTTGACTGCAGATCTTGCTGAACTTGGCTAGCTGATTTGTATCTTGGTCAATGTTCTTGTCAGATCTGCTTACCTTTAGGTGAGCCAGGCTAACGATGTGGCTTTGCGTGTCTTCATTGTCTGCCCTGGAGGACTGCTGTGCATTGCCTCCGAGCAAGCGGTAGTGGCAAATTAGGCTCATGGGGAAGAAGCTTTTGGTGTGATCTCAGGGACAGATACATGTCTTTGTTCAGCAGATAGCAACAGAGTTTTGGGGAAGGGGTTATGAAGGAGTTGGCAGGAACTTGGTGCTGCAAACTGAAACTAAAGTCACAAGATGCTTTGGAGTAGAAATGACTTCCCTGGACCGGGAGGTTGCTGCAGACTGGCCAAGTCTGGCTGGAACTGGAGGGAGAAATGGGACTGGCAGAAGCTGTGTGTGACTCGGGTGCATCCCAGAGCTCCCTCTGCGCCACTGCTGTGCTGCTGGAGACGACTCAGCACTGGGCACACTCAGTGGCTGTTGATTAACCCAGGGGCTTTCCTTCTCTGTGAGCTGGGACATTGTCATCTGTCTTTGAGCAGCCCAGATGAGCTGGACTTGGGAGCAGGGGAGTGCAGGGTACACTCAGGAGGTCAGACTGCCATGGGATGAGCGAACCCCACACTAACAAGGCCCTGGGCCACCCAAGAGAGGTCCTGATCTGGAAACAGGAAGGTCTGGTCATGCTGTGGGAGCAAGAAGGTGAGTGTGATAACATGAGTGGCCTCAGCACAGAGGAGTTCCTTCAGTGCACGTGTCCCTGGATGTGCAGGGGTCCTCCCTGTTGGCAGTAGGACTTGAGAGAGATCTCAGACCTTACACACACACACTCGTTTCTTAACCTCTAACCATGCTTTTTTGCAAAGAGTGAGCCATGGCCTTAAATAAAATTGAGTGATGTAGAGCACTTCTCACTAGTCCTAAGGAAAAAAAAGAAAAGCAAGGTGACACTGTACCTGTTAAATCTAAATGTCAGCAGCTTCTCTGGCACCAAGACAGGGGTATCTGTGAGGATAGAAAATGCTAATGTTGTTGGAGACTGGAGTCAGTCCTAGCAATAGCTGGTGCTGTGCCTCGGATAAGGAAACATCAGTACTGTGACATATGTTTTGTACATCACTTGGAAGGAAAATGGATCTGGAACCACCACCAATGTATTCTAAATTATTTGTGTTGCAGAATCTGAAGGGAATTCTGAATAGGCTCTTGGGCTCTGATTAATTCTGAAGCTGAAATGTGGCTACATCTCCACAAAAGTGCTGATCCTCTATGACTCTAATTTCCTCCTCCCTTGGAGCTTACAGTATTATTTAATGGAAGTCACACATCTAATCAGTTTGATTCAGTGATGATGTAGCTATATTATTTGACTTTCTCTCAAGAAGTTCTACAGAATGAGGGAGTAATGAAAAATGGGGTGCATAAAGGAATAAAATATTTTTAGTATAGTTTTGAGAAGAAAATCTCTAAAATCCTGAGTTGTGCTATGAGACATAGTGGATAATCATCCTGTATTCATCTTCTGTTCAAGAGCTGGGAGGTGCCATTGAAATGGGCAGACAGCAGCCTGTGACAGCAGGAGACACTTTTTCGAGTAGGTAACTGAAGAGCAGAACATGCCACTGCCGTCTGTGGCAGAGCTCAGCAAGCTGGTGGGCTATAAAGGAATTAGGGTGGTCCATGGAGAAACTCCAGGCTGCCTAATCTCTAAAACCCTGGGAGGGGCTGACAGGGGGAGTCCTTCTGCCTTCACTTGCTTCCTAACTCATCCTTAAGCATCTGTCACGGGCCGCCATCAGAGGTGAGCTAGGGAGCTGTGCCTGTCTTTAGGAATTGTGGAGCTTCTGCCTGATCTCTGGGATTTCTGCTTGCTGTCAAGCTTCTTGAGCTGTTTTGTTTTGTTTGTTTAAATAAACAACTAGTCTTGTGGCACAGTTGTGTTTTAACATAATATCAAACTTTAGTATTGGAATAGATCTTGGTTTTAGTTGCTCTAGATTGTTGCAGGTTGTGTTATTAACATTATTAACTAGATATCAAATGGATGATGTAATGGAGTATTTATCCTCTCGGGGAAAATCAAGTAGATGCACAGAGGACTCCAGACAACAGCTGCTGCTATCACTGGGTGCTTTCCCATAGATGTTATCAAGTATTAGTTCAGGCTGTTTGTGAACTTCAGTGAAAGTCTCCTGGCAAAGCTCTCTGGTTCCCCAGAGATTTGGCTTGCAGCACCTTCCTTTTCTCATCTCAGTCTCTCTGGAGCAAATTGCTAAGGTGCAAGAGTAACTCAGATTTGTCCTTAATGTTTCTTTTAAATCACATCTTTGCATCCATGAGAACACCTGGCATATAGTGGTCTGTCTTCTCTCCTGAAGCCAGGTCCCAGCTGGTAAGTTCTGATCAGTAAGCACCTCCTTGAGTGGAGGGGAAGGGAGTGTGTTTTCCAGGGCCAGTAGCAGCCTGCAAGGCAGCCTGGCTGCAGCGTCCTTGGTGCTTGCTCGTGTTCAGCAAACTGTCTTGGGGGGGGCCTGGGTTCACCGGCCCTGGTGCTCCAGAGTGCTCTGTGCATGCCTGAGCCTTCCCCGGTGCCCCTAAATGTGTAAGTTCAGTTCTGGGGTTCAGTTTTGAAGTGTGAGGCAATGGCCTCTCCTCACTGATAACTCACAGGCTCCCTTGCAGCCCTTCTTGGCTCTTGTCACCGCCAGCACTGCGAGCTCTGCAGACGCGTGATGCTTCCCGCAGCTGTATGCTGCAGCTTGGGAGCCCACAGAGAGCAAAGAGCTACCCCAGTTCATTCTTTTCGTTTTGTCTGGTTTTTCTTTAAATGTTCAAGTTAACCAGGTCCTGGCAATGCTGTTTCTGCAGCCTGGGCGTGGAGAGCCAACAGCACTTGGTCAGCCCATCTGGAGGCCAATAGCACTGGAGAGAATCCCAGAGGCAGCAGCAGGTCCTGACAAGTGCTCCTCCTGCACGTAACCCTTTGTGGGTGTTGCAGATAAATCATCCTTGTTTTAAGCAGGGGGATTTTGTGTCCAGTTTTCCTGATATCCATAGAGAGGAGCTGCACAAAGCAGTAATTTGAATCTCTGGCTGAGGACAGCTGAGCCTAGGCTGTGTCATGGAGATTATCTGACTCTGCTTTGGATTTAATGCCCTGAGAAATCTTGTGTTGGACACAGCACCTGGCTTCCAGCGAGGATCCTGCTCTTAGCTGATTTGCCTGCTGGGTTATGGTGACACACAGAAGGTTAGATGACGTGTTTGAGGTCCCAAAGTATATGACTGCAACGGGGATGCTCCTCCAGAGGTTCACGTACTGTAGAGCAGAGCAGGGAGTTTTGGCCATCTGACGTAGCTGGATTGAATGGGTAATAACCTTCTCCTCGAGCAGTCCTCTGCTGCTTTGCCAGCAGAGCTCTCCATCCTTGCACTGAAGGAAGAGCCTGACCCTCCTGGAAGTAGCAGTTTTCTGCAGCTGAAATTTGACTGCAGAAGTGTGGGAGAAACCTGCTGTTCTGTGAGCAGCCTGACTGTTCCTGCACGATGGGTTTGCGCTCCCTGGCAGCGGTGCTGGAGGCGCAAGGCTTGCGCTCGGGGAAATGCAGCTGAGTCGTTCAGAAAAAGAACAGACCTTTCCCTTAGTCCTTAACTTGGGTTTCCATCTGTGCCTTGCGCAAGTGTGTTGTAGGCATGCGCCCTCTTGCTGTCTTGCCCAGGACCAGGATGATGAGTTGAAGAGGTGCTGCTAGGGTTAACAGCGGTGTAAAGGAGGGGGTACTGCTGCTGCCTGGTCAAGGATTGCCAGGGCATCCTTTTTCTAAAGGAGGCTGCAGCACTTGCCTGCTGTTTATGCCTTCCCTCCTGGCTCTGGGGAGAGGGTGTGCAGGCTGGAGGCAGCAAACGCGCATGGGAAGAGGCAAGGCTGAGGGGGAAGTTTGGCTCCCTCACAGGGAAAACATTCTTTTTTTTTTTTATTCTGCATTAAAACCAGGCAGAAGTAACAACTGATACTGCTTTTTCAGCATGGATTTTTGCTGTCTTTCATTTCAAGGTAAGAGCTGTCTGCTGTGGTGCATGTGGTGCTTTCAGGAGCAGTGGGAGTTGAGCCACGTCCCTGTGAGCTGTGTGTAAGCAGGCATGCGTGTGGAGAGGGCAGCATCCTGGGCTCACTCTGTGGCACAGGTGTAATGCAGAGAACACGCTGCCGAGCAGGTCCAGGCTGGGCTTTGGAGGTGCTGCTCAGAAATGCCATTGTGGAGGAGGGCAGTTGTGATTGCCATGGTCAGGGTATGGCTCTGTCCACCTCCCGTCTGACCCTGCTTAGTTCAGTCTCTTCTTGCTACCCCTAAAGCCCTTTTAAAGCATAACAGGCACTTGGTCAAATGACATTTTGCCAGCATCTGATCTGCCTTTTGTGCTCATACCTAGCATATTTGTCTGCCTTCTAGTCTCAGTATTTCCCCATTTCTGGAGGAGGTAGAAGTCCATAGCACACAGGTAGCTTTCCTGGGGCCAGAAAAGCTGGGGTGGTGTTGGCCACAACAGTATTCCTTTTTTAAAAGGAAGGAGGCTGGCTTCAGTGAGGGAGCCCTACTTCTCTGGAGCTCTTGACTTTGCTTTTAAAGATGTATTTACAAAAGCTTGGAAGATGAAATTTGTGTCTGTTTGATGTGCAACAAAGCTGGAAGTGGTTGTATCCTTTTATTTATTTATTTATTTATTTAATTTTAGTGTGTTTCTTCCTTTTCTAAATATCGGAAGTTATTTTTTATGGAGGAAGAGCTCCAAAAATGTGCAGTAGCAGCTTTTGAAGTGTCAACATCACTGAACGTGGTTGAATATGAACAAACGCTGCTTCCTGTCTCAGTGGCTGGAGCCATGTAGGCAAAACAGCCGAATCACTGTGGGTCTCCAGTTATCAAAGGCAGGAGGAGAAAGGACAATGCACACCATGTTTCTGCTTGTGGGAGTGGATCTCAGCTGCGCTGTGAGGCTGACTCAGAGCTGTACTGGGCCAGCACTGCACCATCAAGGTTTGCACGTGAGTTAAGACTTGCCAGCGATCTGGTCTGTCCTTCTCAGATTTGTCTCACCCTTGGTGATTTCATCTGGGAGGAAGCAGCCTGGAGTGCACATGGCTGATGCCTGGGAAGAATGGCATTAACAGACCAAATCTTTGGGTCACCAAGAAGTGCAGGAATTATCTGTGATTGTGCTCTTCATGACATTATCTATTTTGTGGTATGTTAGCATATGTTCAGCTAAGACCTGTTCTGGTGGTGCGATGTTTCCTGGTCCCACTTCATGCCACAGTTCAGTTGTTTTTGACAAGTGGTGCCCACCATACCAGTTTGGAGAGCAGGTCAGATGGGCAGAACTTTCCTCTTGCCATGTTTGAATCCCAAGCAGTTTCCCTGGTGATCCTGTGTGATGTAGCAGAGGGAGGTACAGCCAGTGGGGAACACTGGACCCTAACACATCATCTCCTCTCGTCGCTGTAAGCAGCTGGGAGAGCTTTGTGGTCACCAGTTTTGGATGGGTCAGTAATGGAAACCACGGACTTTGGGGTATCAGTCCCTAATTAACTAGAGCTGGGGTTGATGAGCACAGGAAGGAGGCAAATTAGAAAGCCTTGTGCTTCCACACACAGGGCTGTATGCTTCCCCACCAGCTCTTTGGCTGTGCTCACTACTGTAGAGAAACCTCAGTCAGACCTCTTGGGTCTGGGAGTTACGCCTTGATCTGGAGGGGAATGAGACACCTGTTGCCACAGGTTTGTTGTCCTCACCCAAAATCTGCCTGGCATGAGACATTGGGTCCCTCAGAGGCTGTATGGGAGGACACAGGGGTTGAGGCCATAGCCAGGGTGGGCAAAACCCTTTCTGCCTTTGGGGCTGTGACGGAGAGTTGCTCTCCTGGTTGTGTCTGTCATGCTGCTGTGCCCCAGCAGGGCTAATAGGAGCAGTGGCAATCTCGATCCTTTCTCTTTTGTTTTCTTTAGCAAATCACCAGCCTAGCCTGTGCATAGGCTCCCATGCAGCTGTGGTTTAGTCCCTTGTGTCCACACTGAATCCAAGCCACCCATAAAGACCACAAGCTCTGAGATGGTAGGGGGGATGAGGGGTGGCTGGGTGTCCTGTGCAGTCCCCCAGCAGTGTTGCAGGGCAGGTGAAGCTCTCTGGAGCAGCCAGACCAGCCACAGCTTGCTGTCCCATCCGTACTGCAGCAGCATGTGCCCGAGAGTGCCAGCATGGGCAAAGCTTGGCGTTGCCACAGCTGAGCATGGCTTCAGGTCGCTGGTCTAGACCTGAGGGAGATAACGGGCTTGCACTGCAAACACCGTGCAGAAGTACCCCACCAGAGCTCGGTGTGTTCAGCCTAGCACAACAAAGTCTGAGTCAGGGTATGATGGTTGTTTTGCGGCAAGCAGGGAGTGAAGAAAAGCTCTTCAGGCTTGAGACTGGCTACAAATAAACTAGAAACTGTAAGGCTGTCAGAGCAGTGGGGGCCTGGAACAGGCTTCCCAAGGGAATAGCAGGAGCAGGACAGCCAGCACACACCGCTGGCATGTGAAGTTTTGGGGTGTTGTCCCTGGAGAGGGAAGGAGGGATGGGCTGATTCCGTGGGTCCCCTCTGTTCTCTGATCCATTTTCTGCATGATTTGTCATGCTGCCAGCCTGTGGGAGCCCTTTGCTTGTCTCCTGTGTCTGTTGCGTGATGCATTCACCTTCTGTGGTTAGTTTACAGAAGAGGCAGTGAAAGCTGTTCTTCCAGTTGAGAAGAACTAATCTGCATTTTTAGCTGGAAATAGCATCTCCTCTGTCCATCCTTTTACTGGTAACCGACTCCTTTTGAGTCTTATGATCTTGCAGTGGGTCCTTGCTCACAAAGGGCCTGTACTAGACATTGATGATCCCATCAGATCTTGAACTTAAGCCTGGAAAACTTGGCTGAAATTATTGGTAAAGCTTTTATTTTCCTCTAGGTGTTCAGCTGGTCTATAAGCATGGTTATTCCAGTAAGCCCTAGCGTGGATGCAATTTCTGCAGTCTTTGGCAATGCTTCTTTCCATGTGAGACCAGCTTGTTTTATCTCAAGCTGTTTTCATGACACAGAAATGCTCTGGTGGTTCAGTTTCAATAAGCCAGCATGGTTAATGTGGGACAGCTTTGTAGCATGCTGGCATGGGTGGCTGGAGATCCTGGGGCAGAGCGCAGCCTGCCAGGGCTGTCATCCCTGGGAAGGGCGCTCCAGGCTCTGCGTGCCACGACGCCTCTGCTGTGAGCTGCCACTGGACTCCCAAGTCCGTGTCTCTGTGGCGGTGCTGTGGGCAGAAGTCTTACTTCTCTTTTGCAAGACAGAGGGAGCAAAGTAAGTCTGCTTCACCAAAAGCTAGTGGGTAAAACCAGAAATTACCAGCAGCAACAGTCCTTGTTATGTGCTTCTGGGGATCATGTTTTGATGCAAAATGCTGCTGTGGTTTTGTCTAGTACCTGGGTCTTCCCAGCTTAACCCTCTGTGCCCAGAAAGTCTCTCCGGGGGTGGGCACGCTTCAGGCTACCCTCTCCCTGTGGTGGGGGTTGCTGCACAGGGAAACTCGGCCTCTTGGCAGGGGAGCTCTCAGCTAGCTCTTGAGAGCAACTTTGCCTTTGTGTGCTGCTGTGAGGGGGAGGATCTGGGTTGCTTTGCTTTGACCATGTTGCTTTTGAGAAGCAATACTGCAGGGTGCATGCCAGGGCGGTGAGTGATGTTCTGGAGTAGCTCCTGTCCAGCTGACCCAGCGCGAAGGGGAAGCTGTGTGCCCTCCAGCTCCCCACAGAGCCCTCTGGCGGAAATGGGCTGGGGCAGGTTTTGTGCTTCTCGCATTAAGATAAAAGAAAGCCCAGGAGAAACAGCTTCTAAGAGGCTTAAAAGCAACAGGCTTTCTTTTCCTCCTGGGAAGGGCACACAGCCAACATCTTGCTCTTTATAGATCCCTCCTAATAAGCAGAATATTGCATTAAGAGTGACCGACTCTGCCAAGTACTCACAGAACAGCTCTGCAGCTTCCTTCATCCCAGCGCACGTGTGGCTCTGAGCTCCACTGGCTGTCGCCCTCGTGGCTGCCTTCTGCTGGTCAAGGTGGCAGGATTAATTGCTGGCTCAATCAGGGGCTGTTGCTTCATCTGAGGGGTGTTTCTAGAGCGGCTGGTGGAGCACATGGGTGGGATTGCCTCTTGGTCTCCTTGTCTCCTGAGGTTTCTCGCCAGCTGCTTTGATGACAGGGGGAGTCATCAGAGACAGGGCTGGCGAGTGTTGAAAGATGTTATGTTATGGGAAGGCAGCATCTGAGCAGTAATGGGAGGAGATCTGTGACAGTAGAAAAGTCGTGGGCTCAGCTGGCCTGCAAGAGCAAGGAAAGCTCCTCGTTAGGCTGGTGTCTCCAGGTAAGGACTCAGGGATGCTCCAGTTGGGCTGGGCTCATCCAGGAGCCCCGCAGGCATGTGGATAGGAATGTCTGAGGCTCCTGGGTGCACAGGGTGGGTTGGTTGGCTGCTTTCAGAAGAATAAGTCCTCTTTTTCTTTACATCCCCAGTGAAGCTAAAAAGAGCACGGCCCAATTTATAGCTTTGTAGGTCACTGAAGGAGAAGGAGGGCTCTGCAGCGTGCTGCACTTTGGGTGCTTTCCTCTGCCTGCCAGCGCTCTGTGCCGTGGCAGCTCTGCTGTACCTGCTGCATGGGCCAGCTCTCCTTTCCCTGGCTCTCAAGGAAGAAATTGGAGAAAAAAGCAGGAGGAAGATGACCCCCAGCTGCCTCTGTACTACACTTTGAAGCTGTGTGTACATACCACTTCAGACCTCTGGGGAAAATATTTGTCAGTAAATACAGACATCCTAGGAAGACCCTATGGCAGTCAGGGCTTTGCTCAGGTCCTGGGGGATCAGCACACTCCTCGGTCATCAGCAGTGGGTAATGGTGCTTCTCCACAATCTCACGGTGCTCCGCTGTGGACTTGTGACCTGATTAGGTTTCCTGCCACCTTGCAGGGAAGCAGGGAGCGTGAGCTAGAAATAGAGTGGAATAAAGCAAAGCCAAGCAGGTCAGGAAGGGATGAATCTTCCTTCCCATGCTTGCTGAGGCCTTGGATTCTTGACCCAGCAGCTGCAGATGGAGGTGGCTGTGCCCCACAGGCACCTCTCTGGACACACCTGCAATGCAGGCAGGGCTGGGCAGCACTCGCTGCCTGGCCTGGTGCCTGTGGAGGCTCGTGCCATGCTGTGCCGTGGAGGTTAGCGTGCCCCAGGCAGGTTGCCTGGCACGTGGTGGCATTGGTGCTGGGGCCGGAGGGACTCTTGCTGCCTCTTCTTCCCTAAGCAGTGACTCCTGTGGGTGCTGCACCCCTCGGCTCCAAGCTCTCTGGGGCTGAGCAGGCGGTTTGTGCCTCACCAGGGCCGCAAGGCAGCCTTGCTGGTCGTGCCTCGGTGCGGGTGATGTGGCAGCAGTGCCTTCTTTGGCCATCTCTAGGGGTCCAGAACTGTCTGGTTGTGCCCATGGGATTTTTTCAGCTGGTTGTAGCCTCAGTGTTTTTTTCCTGCTCCGTTGGGAGTTGCTAGAGTGAGACATGTGGGACCAGCTGAGAAAGCACTGTGCTTGCAGCATGGTGGGCTGCCTTGAGGAGAGCAGGAGACCAAGGGGAAAGGGACAAGCAGCGTCACATTTGCTCCAGGCCCATCGGGGATGAAGGATGGAGGGTTTGGGTAGCTGCTCAGACCGCAAGGGGAGCTCCTAGGGCTGCTCCCCGGGTACTGGTAGCAATGTCACCTTGTCCCGTGCCTGATGGCAGCCTTCCCAGGCACCAAGTGAACAGCCGCTCATTTGTATTTCCCAATTTAGTCACGTCCTACCAGATATAACTGAGCCAGAGTAAACAGGGAAATCAGGTTTCTTGATGTTGTTGCACTTCCTTGGAGTTCAGATTGTGTCGGTGGAGCTTTTCCACGTCCTGAGGTCACATAGCCTTGTGCCTGCCATTGCACACGTGGGGAGGGTCCTGCCCAGAGCCACTGCCCCCACGCCTGCACTGGGTTTAGCATGGCGGCCAAGGCAGCGCTGTAGCAGTGGTTCCTCTCCATTTCTGTAACATGCTTGCTGTCTCCTTTCACACAGATTCAGTGGGGTAAGGTGGCTTCAGAACTGTGCTGCTCAGAAGAATTGTTTTAGTAGTCACCTCTGTCGAGGCCTCTGAGCTCCTTGCTGCAAGGAAGAGGATAGGTAAATTTTACTCCATAGAAATATTCTCTAGCTGTGAAAGATGGTCTTGGCTTGACTCACTCAATGAGAATATTAAGCGATGCTCTCTGTGGTTTTGCACCCTTCACCTCAGAGTTTGTGCTTCAGGCTCAGAGGGCCCTGCCATCCCCTCAAGGCGCAGTGTCACATGTCACTGCTAGGTGGAGTTGGGGGGCTGTGGGCAGCTCATCCCCATCTTTGGTACCGTAATGCTGGAATCGAGGCACTGGGCAGAGAGGCTTCTAGGCCAGAGCTGCCCCGGCACGTGGGTCTTGCAGCTGAGAGCCTCACCGATGAGCTGCTGTGCACCACGGGTGGGTGCTCAGGGGGCCCTGCGGGGCCGGCAGGATGGTGTCACGCCTTGGCTTCACTGCCTGGGCAGCAGCATCTCCAGTTTTGGGGCTGCAGCCTTGTTTCTGCCCAGGGTGGGTGCTGAGGCCAGTGCAGCGGTGGCACCGGCCCTGGACCCCTCTGTTACCTGCCACCACCTTTCCCAAGCATGGTGCAGCTCCAGGCGGGTGCCTGTGTGCAGCCAAAGGCTGGCGTTTCCTCTGAAATCTTCTGTCCTTGCAGGGCTGACCTGAGCCATGTCCAATGACCCTCCGCCCCCCTACCCGGGCGGCCCCTCGGCACCGCTGATAGAAGAGAAGCACGGCCCACCCCCTGCCGCAGGTACTGGGTGTCGGGATGACATTGCTGAGTGGGCAGGAGCCATGTGAGCATGGCTTTCCCAGGAGTGCCCTGGCCGTGGCCTCTCCTCCCAGCTCTGCCCTGCGGTGTGCAGTGTGCTGAGGAGGGCGGTGCGATGCCCAGCTCCGACTGTCACCGTATCACCCTCCGGGGTGCAGGAGATCCCGGGGGAGGTGAGGAGAGCAGAAAGCACTCCCTGCTCAGAGCCTGGCTCTGCTCACTGCCATGGGTAACGGGCTGAATTTGGGCTTCTTGTGACCCAGAGGATGTGGCTTGGGGGGTGCCCCCCACCCCATATTGTGTTCCCCTTCCCTGCTGGTACCAGCCCCCAGACCCCTCAGCCAAGCCACCATCTCCCCCTTGGTTCTGCCCCCTCCTGCCCTGGCTGCTGACTCTGTGTTTCCTTTCAGATGGCGTCGCCCCAGTTGTGGGACAGCCCCAGGGGGTTCCCATCCCCCCTCCTGAATTTGGGCCCCCCCCATACGAGCCGCCCTCGCAGCCGGGGTTCGTGCCCCCCCACATGCCCACAGACACCTCTGGGCCCTACGTGCCGCCTGGTGAGTACTGCGAGGGGCTGCATGAAGCAAGGGGTGGGGGGTGCCGTGACTACCCCTCTGATGTACGTGTCTCCCAGTGCCCCAGGGAGTGGGGGGAGCACAACAGGGCATTTGGGGCAGCCCTTAGGACCTTGCAGCGAGGTTGCTCGGGTGGGGGCAGCCTGGAGCAGAGTGCACCCCCCTCCCTGCCCCTGTAAGGATCCGGCCGCTCCTGCATACAAAGAAGTTCACCTGTGCACGTTTCTCACTCCCAGCAGGTTACTACCCGCCCCCAGGTCCTCACCCCCCCATGGGCTACTACCCTGCTCCGGGCCACTACCCCTCCCCTGGCGGCCACACAGCGACAGTGCTCGTCCCGTCGGGGGCTGCCACCACAGTGACGGTGCTGCAGGGAGAGATCTTCCAGGGTGCCCCCGTGCAGACGGTGTGTCCCCACTGCCAGCAAGCCATCACCACCAAGATCACCTACGAGATCGGGCTCATGAGCTTCCTTCTTGGCTTCTTCTGCTGCTTCGTGGGGTAGGTGCTGCCAGCAGCCCCGCGGTGATGGTGGTCGTTCAGCCCTGGTCCTGGTGGCCTTGGCTGAGCTGTTGGCAGGGGCCTCGGCACTGAGCTGTCACTGGGGCAGTGGATGGGTTCCTGGGGTGACAGCTCCTGGAGACCTGCCCTTCTGCCAGGGCAGGGGAAGGTGCCACCTCCAAAGGCCTCTTGTAGAACTTCCCCCCACCCCCCTGGCACCACAGAGCCATGGCCTCTCCTCACAGCCCGGGGCTGGCAGCAGCGGCTGGGGTGCTTGTCCCAGCCCCCTGCCCCAGCAGTGGAGGTAGGTGAGGCCTCAGCACCTGCCTGTGTTCATCTCACTGGCTCTCCCTTCCCTCCCCGAGGCACGTGACCACTGGCTGAGCAGCGCTTGCCCTGGGGCCAGCAGCAGCAGCAGACCCCGAGGGCCAGGGGCTTTCGGCTGCCCTTTGCCCCCGCTCTTGCTCATGTCCCAGAGTGACCCCCCCCTGCCCCAAGCTGCCTCTGGGGTGCTGAGCTCTCTGCGCTCTGCCTCTCCCTGTGCTCCAGGTGTGATCTCTGCTGCTGCCTGATCCCCTGCCTCTTCGATGACTTCAAGGACGTGACCCACACGTGTCCCAACTGCAAGGCCTACATCTACACGTACAAGCGCATGTGCTAACAGCACCCCGGGAGCCCGAGCTGCTGGAACAACACCAGCCCCCCTCCTGCTGCTGCCGTCCTAGTCTGTAACACTCTTTCGCTTAACCCTCCTCCGGTGGTGTGTATGTGTGTGTCCCTGGCTCCCTCCTGCTCAGAGCTGCGAGCACCTTCCCCCCACTCCGGTCCTCGCTGTGAATGGTTGGATGGGTGATGCTGGTGCAGCTGCCCAGGCCCCAGATGCTGTGTGTGAAGCTGCCCTGCAGCACGCAGGAGTTGGGGGGGGGGAAAAGGCCCCGTCCCTCTGCACCCCCTTACACTCCAGGGCACTAGTGAGGCCCCTCTGGCCTGGAGCAGCCTGGGGAAGAGCAGCAGCTGCTGGAGGTGCCAACCCCATCCCCTGTGGTGCAGGGGGTGCTGGCTGCAGCGATGTGCTGCCTCCCCCCAGGGAGCTGCTGCAGGCTGGGGAGCACCAGGAGAGGAAGGGGGACCCCAGCAGCACACACAGGGCAGGAACCACTGCCTTGGTGGCACTTTCAGGAAGGGGCTTGCTGGCAGAGAGGGGAGTGCCACACATGCCCAGTTTCCACATGGGTCAGGGCCCTCTCCGGCCCCCCCCCAGGCAGAGCCCCTGCCCGGGGAGCAGCCGGCACGCTGCGCTGTGGGGGGCCCGGCAGCAGCACTGCACCCTCCATCTGCACCTCCGTCCTGCGCCGGCTGCATGCGCCTCCTCCCAGCCCTGCTGCGGCTCTTTCGGGGAAGGGAAACCCCTGGCAGTTCCTCACCCACCGTTCGTGAAACATGCACCAGTCCTGTCACTCCCTGCCCGGCGCTGTAGAGTAGAGGCGTTTGTTCCCAGGCCACAGCCCTGGAGCAGACCCGTGCCTGCCCACTGCGGAGCCGCATCCTGAGCCCAGCGGGGTCTGTGTGTGCACACCCTGCGGCACCTGTCCTGCCACCACCCGGGGGGGGGGAGGCGGGGTGTTTCCTCCTTGCATGTGGGTGTAGGGGTTTATTTTTAGCTCACTTGATTGGGGGGCAGAAGGAAGGGGGCAAGGGGGCAGTGACAGGAGCTGTCAGCAGCACTTGACAGACAAGAGCAAGAGGACCTGGGAGCCATTTTCAGCCTCTCCGTGGCTGCACTGCCTCCTCCCTCCCCTGGCCCCCCGCAGCCAGGGCAGGGGGTCTCAGTACACAGGTCTGCAGACGCAGCCTGGCCTGCACAGACAGCTGCTGTTTGCTCAGAGGTGGAACTGTGGCACTACAGTGTTTTTCTGTAAATAAATAACAGACCCTGAGTTTGTGGATATCTTTTCTTCTCCTGTGCTCCAGCTCCACTGCAGATCTGCCCCTAGGGGAGCTGAGGATGAGGAGGGATGGCACAGATGGAGCACTGGAGGAAGAGCAGCAGCTTCCCTACCCTGGCCCAGGGCAGCAGAGGCCCCTTCCCGAGCTGCAGGTGGTTTCTCCAGCTCCACCCTCTCCTTGTGCCCCAGCCCTCAGCTGAAGAAGAGAAAATTCCCCCAAAGGCTGGGCTGGAGGAAGGCTGAGGAGTGCTTATCTCGTCCAGCAGTGTGGGAAAGCAGAGTGTGAGGGGCCACCGAGAGCTCCTCCCCTGCCTCAGGGGAAGCATTGCCCCAGCACCCAGCACAGTCCAGCAGGGCAGGGTGGGTCCCCTCCCAGCAGGAGCTGGGGCAGAGAGGTAAAAGGCAGGAGTGTCTTAGGGAGTCAGAAAGCAACAGTGTGGGAGTCTGTACCCCCCTGCATCCTCCTCAGCCTTTAACGTCCCCCACACCTCACAGCACAGTTCACTCATTCTCCCAATGATGTGTTTCTGGCCTGCCCAGCTACAGAATTGCAACTTTTTATTCCAGTCAAGGCTTCAGAAAAGAAAAAAATCCAACACACAATGTTACACAATACACATTTGTCACCCTCATACCCCCACCTCCACACCTGGTCCTGTCCCCACCCCCAGGGCATTTCCTTCAGCACCAGTGAGACTTGTCTGGGGACACTGCACCAAGCAGGAGCTGATGGCCCCACAGCACAGCATGACCAGAACATCAGTTTCTGGGGTAGGAAACTGCTCTTCATTAAAAAGGCTGAAGACACATTCTCAGGTTGCAGCCAGGGCAGGAAACTCCCTCCAGCGACTGCTCCCTGGAAGGAGATGAAAAGCCAAGCACGTGAGGCCTTTGCCAGTACAGGACAAAGGCATCCCTCACCTCAAAAGCTGCCCCAGCCTGGGCAGGGCAGTGCTGCAGCAGAATCCTCACCCCCTCGCACCGGCTCAGTCTGTACACTAGTCAGCTAAAGGCTTTATATTACAGTGCTTGCATTACTGGTGTGCAAAGAGTCTTTGACAATCCTGCAGGATTCCTGTTTATTTTCTTACTTCCACCCTGCAGTCAACTCGCCTCCACCACCAAGGAAACAGCTTGAGAAAGGTCAGGGCGCGTGCCTCTGCCCTTGCTGCGGCCGGGAGCCACGCGCCGCTCTCCCCATCACATGCTGTACCAGGCAGCAGCCCCTGCAGCCACCGCCACGCAGGCCGCCAGGATCAGCTGCACCAGCGGATGCTTTGCCAGGGCCACAGCAGCGTGACAGGGGCAGCCGGCTCCTGCCTCACCTGCTAGAACACAGAAAGCACTGTTAGTGCTGTGAGTCTCACGCCGCACGCATGTGGCAGCTCTGCTGTTGCCCACGACCTACCTAGTTTGTCTGCATAGTAAGGGCATTTGCGCAGGTCTCCTTTCCCATCGTGGGCTGGCAAGCCTCCGTCTTGGGCTTCTTCTGTCAGTGACCTGCCAATCTCGTCCAGTTCATCAAACACCTGCAAGGAGTCACAGCCATTATGTGAAGTGGGCAGAGCCAGGCCGGTTTCATCCAGACCTCTGGAATAGACCTGGAGAACAGGCAAGAGCTGCTGCTGCCTCCCTCCTTCTCCCCAGAGACACCACGTGCTACTCATTGCGCAGCACCTGGCAGGTCTGCCTGCGTGTGACACCGGCCCCTGCTGTGGCTCCAAGAAGGCACAGCCTGTTCCAGGAACATCAAGGCAGCCCCAGGAGGGAGACAGAGACATAGCAGCTCCTGGCCTGTGGCGGGTGGAGCGAGGCCATGCGCTCCCTTCCCAGCTGCAGCCCCTCCGTGGGGATCACCACTCATGGACAGGCAGCCCCTCCAGCCCCACTGCCAGAGGTTTCCCTAAGGGAGCCTGGCAAAGGAGCCAACACATCCCACCACATTTCTGGCCAGACTAAACCACGACGACCTGCTACAGGCAGATTAAAGCTTCCATCCAGCACCAAAACTGTGTTCATTCCCCTGAGGCAAGTGGCAGCTCAGACAGGTTTTATGAAAGACAAATACTATGGGAAGGAACAAGAGGCTACAGACATTTTTGGCCACTGGGCAACATGTCAGACAGGAGAGGAGCACCACCAGATTGGTGCAATATGTTCAAACTGTTTGAGGCTGTCCCAGAGCAAGAGCTCTGCTCCACCCACTGCTTCAGAGCCACACAGCTCATGGGAATGTTGTAGTGAAGGGAGCTTAATTTTGCCCTAATCAAAGGCTCAGCTGTGGTGGTGGAGTATGGGAGGAAACTAGTGGAAGAACCATTCCAACCAGAATCCCACCACCCCAAGAAGGAAAGGCTCTGGTGGTCTCTGACCCAAACCACTGCCTGGATGAGCAGTCAGACTGAATTAACACAGGCCTAAGAGGTGGTCCAGACCCAAAGGCAGCAGCACCTACACATACAGGGGCTCAAGGAGTTCAGTACCTGCATGTTAAATCTGAAGGCTCGGTTGGCCTCTTCCACGATCCGTTCCTTGGTGTTCTTGTCCAAATCCAGAGCATTCATCCTCGCTCTGTAGAGCTGCTTGAACTGCTGTGCATTGGAAACATTGTCAAACACATAGAATTGGATCCCTTCCTCAGTACTGGGCAACTTCAGGGCCCTCTGGGCTACCTTCTTCAGCACTTGGCCACCTGAGAGGTCCCCCATGTAGCGCGTGTAAGCGTGAGCCACTAGCAGCTCTGGCTCGTGCTGTCCCACATGATGGATTCTGTCCACATAGTGCTGAGTTGCCTCTGAACACTGGATCTTCTCTTTCCAGCCTTCTCCATAGAAATATTTCAGGTCTTTGACCAACGCTTCTCTCCGGTGAAGCTCCAGGGGGAAATACAGTGGAGCAAAGACTGGGTTGTCCTTGTTGCGATCCATTTCCTCTTCCAGAGCTGAGTATGTGAAGTAAAGTGCCACAGTGGCCCGCTATGGACAAAGCACAGCCAATGTGAGAAGCCATTCACTAGATCAGCACATCACACCTTGTGACTAGGTCCCCCCTGCATGGAGTTGGGGTCAACGAGGAGGAAACCCCCAGGTGTGACACAAACCAGCCTGGAGAGCCCAGACCAGCCATGTATCACTTGAAGGATTAGAGGCTCTTCTCTGCCTACGTCCATAATGACATTTCCTATAGAGCACAAGTGAAGAGTTAAGTCTCATGCTGCCAGCTGGGTGCTCTGGGTCTCCTGTCACCTTGAGAGCAAGGCACGGGGACTGACTTCATCCCAAAGGTACAACTAGCACCAACAGCCTTGTGCTATACGAGACTACTGGATATGCTGCCAAGACCTGCAGGATCCAACAGTTCTGCTCAGACCCAAAACTGAAGGGAAAGGAATCCAACCCAAAGTCTCTGGAAAACAGCCTAGTCTCCAGAAGATGGAATAAGTGCTGTAATCCCACCAGGACTTCACTCCTAAACAGTTTATGCCCCCAGTATCTGTGATGCAGCTGCACGTGCCTGGAGTGGCCAGCAGATGCGTGGCCAGAAGCCCACCTAAGCAAATTTGTGCTGGGCCAGCACACTCCTCGCCCCCAAGTCCAGCTGTAGGACACATCAAGCAGGAGTCCCAGGCAAGTGCCCTCCTGCAGTTTTAACTCTTCAGTCCAGATTCCCCCCATCCCCTACACACAGAGCCATGGGGCTCTGCCTCAGTCTGCATCAGTCACTGGGTATTTCAAAGAGCTGCTCTGCCACAGGAGCAGGGCAGCACTCACCTTGAAGAGCTCTCTCTTGATCCGTCCTTTCAGGAACTCTTTGACAAACTGAGTGTTCTCCGCACGGTCATGGGATTCCTTAGTCCCCTCCTTCAGCAGCTCTGAAAGGTCGGTGGGGCTGCAGGCAAACAGGGAGAGATCCTTTCACCCCACTTCCACACACAGTAATGAGTCTGTCCTTGCAGTGTTTGGAGGGATCCCCCCACCCTCTACCACCTCAGCCCCAGTTTGGAGAAGGTACAAGGTGGGATCCCACAGGCTGGAATGGCACCACCAGGAGGAAGCAGCAGGGTGGCAGCAGCCAGAGGCTCCTTCTACCAATGCAGGTGCCTGTGGGCCAACCAGAGTGGCCATTCTGGGAGGGCTGGGGCTTCCCTGGGGCTCAGAGCCAGGATGTTGAAGCAATTGCCAAGGATCCTCTGATCCCTGCACCATGATTTTTGCTTCTCATCCATGTGAGCCCCGATAATATTACAAAAGGAGGCCTTGAGCATATAAAGAGCAACTATCAGAGCAGGCTAAAGGGCACAAGAGCCTCAGGCACATCCTCCGTGGTCACTGTGGAGGAGGAGTAAGGCTCAGGTGAGAGCAGATGCACACACAGGCAGGACCCTAGCTTTTCCAACTTGGGTATCAACTGCTGGAGATGGGAGCTGAACAGCAAAACAGAGCAAGAACACCCTGAAAAAGTTTATTTATCCTGAATTACAATGTTTTTGCAGGTTTTCACTAGTTGTCTTTCTAAAAAAAAAAAAATTAAAAAATCTATGATTCTACGTTACAGCCACTGCACCTACTTTAAATTTAGTACAGTTGTCAACAACTACACTCACTCAGAATTATGCCAAAGCACACCTTACAGTTTTTGTGACTGGTTTGCTACAGATAGAATGTTCATGTTAGCTGTAAGAGAGACAGACTTTGAAAAATCCAGTCCCACTGAGTGGCTGAACACTGCAGCCAACAGGTTAGACAAGGCCTGCATGGGCCAGAGTCATGTAGCATTAATTTCTCATGAAATGTGAGTCCATCAAGTCAGAAAGAAGTCAACCAGCCTATCTAGGTATTGTGGGAAGCACCCTATTCTGCCTTCCCATTTTCTGAGTCTTGGCTTTTAGTTTGTATGTGAATGTTTTTTTCAAACTAACTTCCAAGAAAATATTCTTGCCTAGACCAGTGGGTATTCTGCAAAGGCAAAAGCAGCAGCTCACTGGAGCAGAG